ATCAGGAAAATAATGTTTCCCCACGGAGAGACGGTACTAACAATAGCACTCTCCCATGCAAGCAGAGGGCTACGAAGTAAAAAAAAAAATCCTCAAGTCAAGCTTAATCTCTCCATCTTCACCCAGATTTCTTAAACAGAAAGTAGAAAAAAGTCACCCCGTTCTATGTGCACTGTTCTGTCTTTTTTGTTTTTGTTTTATCCTTATTTTCTTTTTAAAGAAAAATGTGCTTTGCAGCCTTTGGCCATTAGAAACCCCACTGAAGTGTATTGTCCCCAGGTGTGTTTGTGAGCAACTGTGTCTGTGTGTGAGAGAGGGAGAGAGAGAGAAAGAAATAGTAAGAAGATGTGTCAGGGTCACTGTGCTGTTGGTGTAAATTTGAATGGAAGCCTGTACATAAGGGTAAATATCCTGATTGCGTCAATAGCAGTGGTCTGTGGGGGTGAACTCTGCTTTGGCAGCTGAAGCATTTCTGTGCATGAGTGAATTTGTGATCGAGTGCCTCTGACACTACACAGCAAGAGATGAGGGTCTTTCTTTTTGTAAAAAAAAAAAAAAAAAATGAAAAAAAAAAGCCTGCCATAGGACAGGAGTTTGTACACTGTAAATGTTGTCGAGATTTCTTCCCTAAAACCCTATTTGTAAATTTGAATTCTGGGGAAATGAATCAATTCCATTTTAGGAGAAAAACAACATAATCTGGGTTTAATTCTTTGAGATTTAGAGGCTGGATTTGAGTTACAACTCTCCAGATTTGCCCATTAGTTGAACTGAAAGTGTTTCTGTCAGTTGAAGGTTTTTATTTGTGTTTTGTTAAAAGAAAACGTGGTGTTTTGATCTAATTGACTGATTGATCTGATTGATTTGATCACAGACACACAATTATAAAACCAACAACACTGACATTTTTTAAAATTATTATTAATATTATTATTTTTAAACTTGGTTTTTAAATATGTCCATGGGGGCGGGGGGGGGGGGTAAAACAGAGGTTTATGAATTTAATTTTAATTGTGGATCTTTCATTAGTGTGGCCATAGTGTGTGTGATGATGTGATTTATCCTTCAGTGTTTTTTTTTTAATGGGTGTGTAATCTTGTCCAATAAGAGCATGGTTGCAAGTGTGTTTCTCCTGTAGCAGCTGGGGGGCGATTTCACTGATCCAGTACTAAAAGGCCCCTGATTGCACCTCACTTTAAGCAAGAAGCAGGGCAAAATCTGCAGTGACATATGTACTCAATTGATCTTTCTGATCTTTTTTTTCAAATATGATTTCTTTTGTGATTTTAAAAAATGTTTTGCAGTATGGCTGACAAATATCTTGCCATATTTCTGATTTATCTGGCCAGTTTTAAGGCATCTAAATTTGCAAATTATGAACATATGTGGGGGGAAAAAATCAGTAAAGACATCAAGGCATCCTTCGTTTTGCACTTTTCCGGTGCCTGGTGTAGTACAGGAAATCCTCTGTTCACACTACAAAAAAAGACAAAACAAAAAAACTTTACTTTGACAGTAAAGTACAGGGACTGTACCTCCCAGCTGTTGGTGTGTTAATTTTTACTTGGTTGTTTCTGTTCATATACAGGGTTTGAACGTGTCCACTGAGGAAATCTCTCAGAAATAAAACATAAAGATTTTAATCAGTATTCCACCCATCAGCAGCCTTAAGGCAGTTTTTAGACACTCATATTGATCATGTTTTTTAGAAGGTGTTACATCACCTATCGCCACTATTACTAATCAAAAAACAGGATAAACTTATGCAAGCAGGACCTGTGGCGCTCATGCACTGTGTGTGATTGTCATTCAGATTTCACACATGCTGTAGGGACTGAGCAGGTGCGTGTACTGTGCACGCTGACTTAAAGGATCATCATCAAATCCTAACTTGCATTCTGCATGAGCAATACACACCTTTCATACTTTGGCTAGCCACTAGCTAGTCACTTAGCATCAGGTTGTTAGAAAAACATGAAAACCAGCATTTTTACAGGATATGACATTCACCAAAAGAAGACATAAAAGATAACAATGCAGTGCCTGTTGGAGTGTCTGTTGTAAATACTTGTAAAATGGGATAGACTTACTTTCATATGTGATGGGGTAAAAAAAGAAGAAAAAAAAGCATCTCTCATACAAGATTCTGACAAAGTCAGCAGCAAATCTGCTGTTTGTAATTTCTATTGTGTGTTTATTTTTGAACTTTTCTTTTGGCTTGTGATTTGTTCATTTCCCCAAGTGTGTTAGCACACGATATCCACATTAAGCTTGTTCAGGAGGAAAAATCTGAAGTTCTTTTTATTTTGTCTGTTTTTGGCTCCTGGGGGTGGGATGTGGGAGTGTTATGTGCAACATGAAGCACTGGGAGATTATGAAATCATGTCTGAAAAAATGTCACCTGTTTTCTCTGCAGGGCTGATTTAGCCTTATTTTTGGGGTGGGGTGGGGTGGGGGGTCTTGTGGCACTTTTACTTCCCTCTGCGCACACCTTTCTATTTTGTGAATCATGTTGGAATTACTATGTAACAAACAACAACAACAACAACAACAAAACAATATGTAAACAGTCTCAGTAGTGTTTGTAGATACACTGCAAGTGTGTGCAAAGGTCTATGTATGTATCTGAATGTACGTTTTAGAGGACTTTTGGAAACTTTTTTTGTTGTTATCTTTTCTTTTACAGTTTAGGAGTCACAGGTGTTCATTTTGAACTGTATAGCGAAGGCCTTGAAATCCCTTCTTTTTATTGATTTTAAGAAAGCCAAGCGTAAGGCGATGCCTTCAAGCTGGTTACATTTGGTGCAGGGGCTAAAATTGCCACAAGATTAAAATCAGTGTATATAAAGGCTCAACTTTTTTGTGATTGTTACTGTTATATCCAGCCTATACTGCTAGCAGCTGTTTTTACTGCAGTCAATTACTGGAAGTGGATATATTTCCTATGCAAACTGTTTAAACAATAAAAATGAGCTATGCTACAAAAATTACATTGTGTATGCTTCTTTTGTGGTTTTGAGTATT